TGTGTTGTACTCGAACGAGTCAGAAGCCGAAATCGGCTGAATGGATTTAAAGAGTTTAAAAAGTGAAAACGGAGATCTCATTGACCTCTGCGAGCCTATTCTTCACTATTTATAGCAACTACCCATAAGATGAGTTAATATGGTGATGCCTCCCTTGCTATTATGCCACACGAGCACAAAGCCAAATGAGACAAGAAAGTGCGGATGAAAACTTTCGAGGAGCTACCCCGCATGGAACCACCTTCCAAGGATTCGGTTCCACAGATAGGTGTATAGGTCCACTTGAACTTTCCGCAATAACAACTTTCATCCTACTTTCGAACTATCCTTGCTACCACTGTCAACGATGGAACTCTCCGAAAACCTGACTTGGAACTGCCCAAGATAATTTGGTATAACATCTGCCTTTTGAGATCCCGTTATAATGAAAGATCAAACCTAGTAGTTGGACTGTAACACATATATATATATATATATATATATATATATATAGCCCCCTGCTCTGATGTTGCAGTCATGATGCTTCTTCACCTCAGTTGGGCTAAACCAACATACACTTAAACTAGGTCTTTTTAGACTGCATAAATTTCATTCCAGTTTATTTGGTTTGTTCTGCCTACCTGAATAATCTTCTATTAACTGCCCATGTTGCTTAAGCTGTGATTATCGTCGTTAACTTCATTGTGTTTGCAGTATTATTTGGGTAAGTTCTGGACATTTTGAACCTATCGCGGATTCCTCGGTAACTAACTTAATGCATATGATAAGTTAGGGAAGAGTCATGTCTGCATAGCGGTATCCTTTCACTGATATATTTTATTTGATAATGTCATTTCAAGTGATTGGCTGTTGTTTGACATCCCATGTGTGGCTGCGCTTGATGTGCATGTTGACAAGGTGCCTACCTGTCTATCACCCACTATCTCGTCCATACTGGCTCCAGGAGACAGTTGGTCGTTGCTGGAGGGGACGGGGTGCACGGTCCTTGTGGCCGTGTTAGGCTCGAAGAGTGGTTCCATGCATTCAGTGTGGAGCGGACTACGGTCCAGCCACCGCCTTGTGTACGATTGATTCCCAAATAGAGCGTGCTTGTGTGTTCTGTGAAGGAGTGTGGGCCGGCTCCGTTGATGAAACGTGGTTCCCATCCGCATACCTCCCGGTCTTATTCCTTCGGGTTTACACTGGATATGGGGTGTGTGGTTGGAGCTGTGGGTGGTGCAGCGCAAGCCATCCGTGGTCCCTCTGTAAGCGCAGGCGTCCTGTGGCTTGCCACAGTAACAGACAAATCCGAAACCGGGTGCCGCCAAACAGATATATATATATATATATATTTATTTATTTATAGATATATATATATATATCCTACACCAACCTCAACTGCTTCTGTCCAGCTGACCCGTGTTAACAGTTGGCTGGTAGTGCACGATTAGTTATGTCCGGAGGCATGTTGCTATTACGCGGAGCAGCCTATTTCGTCAAGGTAAGACATGAGCGCTTAAGCAGTAATAGCCAAAATGTCTTTTAAAGAGCAGGAAGAAGATTCACCGGACGGTAGTTACCTGGGTCGGACCGACTGTCTTCTTCATAAATTACAGTTATAATCCCGTGCCTTCATGACGGAAAAATAAGGCTTGAAAAATCGAGTGAAATTTTCTGCTGATTTCATAGCTGCTACGGCAAGCGTATTCCAGCGAATATCAACCTTTCTAGGAGGGGACGCATCGACAACACTTTCCATTACAGTGTTTACAATATAGTGGATATCAGTAAGTCTTGTTGGCGGCACAGTACATTCTAGTGGTCGTGCTACGACGGAAACACTGAAAACTTGGCGCAGGGTATTTACTGTTTTTTTGGCTGTCCGTATTGATGACAATGTTTAGCTTTCGAGTTTGGTATGGACTGATGTTTTGTTTTCACATGTCCTGGTTGCGGTCGGTAGGCTGTTCCACAGGACGGCGTGTCTGATGGGAAAACTTGGAGCGCCTGGCTGTTCTTGTTTTTATTATCAGTGGTGTGGATTTTTGTTGTGGAGTCTCTAAGTTGGGTAGGTAAGAGTATGTTTTCTGATGCAACAAATTATGAAGGCGCATCAAATTTGCTTTTGGACATCGCAGTCGGAAAGACTCAATGTAAAGTTGCTTGCAACGTTCGTGGTAGTTTAGGGAGGATGTTCTGCTGAACAAAGGTTTGGTGAATGATCTCGGTAAATTTTCCATAGTTTTCCTGTCTAGCTTCTGCATGCTGTCATAGATGGTTGCAGTATTCGAGAGTAGAAAGAATGAGGGTTTAAAATATTTCCAGTTTGACAGTAACTGTATTGATTTTGTGGCATATGTTAGCCACGAATTTTCTGGCTCGAGCCATTTGGTATTGGGCTTGTTCCACATTATGGAAGTCGCAAGAATATCGGATTCCAAGCTCACGGGTGGAGTGCCGTATAGATATGTATTTTGGCTAACTTGCTTTGACCAATCGGGGATCGAGCGACCACCTGATATAATGTATGATCTGTTAGTCGAGAATTTTATCAACTACGTCTCAAACCATTCCACAAGATAGTGAAGATCAACTTGAATTAAAAGCAACGTTCCTTGAATTGCATCACGTCGAAGTTTATAGTCAATCGTGTTGTCATAAGCTAATAAAAAATGTTTGCAATTTTGGATGGGCTTGCAAGTCTCATTTAGGTGAGGGAGAAAAAGCACAGGGCCGCTTGTAATTGGGCAAGGGGTACAGTGATGGTCATCCAAAGTGATTAGTTGAAAGCGAATGCTAAGATAGGAAGAAAGGGAAGTTTAAAGTGGGTTATCTGTTCCAAAGGACTCAACTTTTCAACAACCGTTCATGCAGTCTACGTACAAATGCTTTTCTAAGTCCAAATATGAAAGTAGAATTGCACTACCGGATTCTATGAATTCTGAAGTGAAATTAAGTAGTGTAGGTGGCCCCTCGTACAGGAACGTCCGTTAGAGAAACCATGTGGAGACGTGTTAAACATGTTCAGAAAGTAAGGAATTCCATCAATTTTTCATGACTAATCTTTCAAACAGAAGGACGATGGTGAGAATATGATGAATTTGTCGGTAACTGGCAATTTTTCCTTTGGGACCGCTTTAATGGTGCTGGATGAGGAATGAGAATTTCCCTTGATCAGGAAAATAGCTAGTTCTTTCTATAAAGCGAACATATTCAAAAATAGTCAGCTCCACCCGATTTACTAGCAGTTGTAGAGAAGCCTTCCGATTCCAATCTGCAAGAAGATTTGATGATTTTCATTAGCTGCCGAATCATGTTGTGAGCAAGCAAGGGACAGAAAGCCCATGGCGTCATATAGACTTACGCTTGCGCGGGTAATCGAATCTGCCTGCCTTTCCCAAATTTTGGATTGATCGTTTCCATGGAGAGCGCGATGGGATTAGATAATCCTATGTAATCCAGGCCTTGTAACTAGACTCTGTGAAATCGGAATTACAGTATCAGCATGGGTTGGTCCACATAAATCTTATTTTATAGGACTTGATGCACTGCATTCTTAGAAGTCTGTAAAATCCCACAAACCTAGTGGTTTATAGGCTAATTCCAACGACATTGCGCTCACTAACGTTACCTTTCCCTCTCATACAATTAAATTGCTTATCTGCATTCCATTATTTTCCCATTTTCTGCGGTCGGCGAACTATCTAAGTGCGTGGCATTCGTTCTACTTTTAAGCTCCCTGTGACAAGTTACCTGGAGTCGAATCGATCACGTGATAACTGTACGACACTGGAAAGATAAATGGTGTATAATCTTAGCCCTCCAAACTGCATTCATACACGAGCTTTGGCCATCAATCTGCAATATCGCGGACAACTCTAGGTCATTGGACATTTGCTGAAAACCCCAATAAGTACGACGAAAGACTGTTAGGTTGTACACCAACGTTTTTCCAAAAGTCACTCATAAATTGTGGGAAGACTACAGATGAGCAGGTGTATAATTCACCTGACGTGCATATAATGTGCTAGGAAGCAATTGTATAGCTGTCACAAGCTAAGACCGATTGCAGGAAGGTAAAATTGAAGTTTAGAACGAGAGGTTTTGAATTAGAAACCTTCGTCAAACTGGCAATTTGAACTTGGGTGATTATTTTATTCCATTGAGCGACGATACATACTTCTCAATTGTGCTTAATTAGGATATGGCAATTTGGGTTTAGCGTCAAATCAAAGTAAAATTGTAAGCTAAATGTCAGTAAGACGATACAATGCATCCGTGTTCCTCCTTGTTGCAATGACGTCTGTAGTCTGTAGAATACAATGGTTTTTCCGCCTACAATACACGTGTATGTTTGAATATCTATTGTCGATAAATGCCAGTTGTTGCAGTACACCCAGCGTAAATTGCTTTACTGATAGGGACGTCCAACAGCGTCAAAATACTAATTATGCAGAGCACCACACAAATTCGTTCCAATCTTAAGCAATAACGAAAAAGCTAAAGCCAGTTAGATTTAAGCTCTGTGACACTGAAGGTTTCATTAATACTGTAACCAGGCAACTTGCCGTCACTCTCGTCCATGGGGGCATTCGACAGATTATAATGCTTAGCTGAGGAAAACTCCTTGGAAACTGAAATATTCTCGATAATCATACAGTTTCTAGAATATATAACCAAATTCGGGCCAAAGAATATTATATAAACATTAATGTTATTAAATAATAATTGTTCTAGTAAGGCGAAGGGTAAACTGGAGCATTAATGCAAACATTAGGGGGTTATGTAGCCGTAAATGTTTCGGTGCCGGTAGGCGTAGTTATTTGTATTTAACACTTAGAGTGGTGGATACACGGCTTTTCTGCTTTGGGTTTTCAAATATTGGCATTAACCAGACTTTTTTCTTTTAAAAACATGAAACTAGCCAAATGTACACTATAGTAACCCAGTTCGACTAACTATCATTTGTGCAAAAGTTACCTCACTTCGTGAGAAAAACAAAACCGTAGCTATTTGCTTACGTTGTTGCTTGTAATACATATTCCATATATCTGCCCGATAGTTCAATACAATCCACGCTACTTCTTTTCGCATTGGTTGAGTAAATTCCGTAGATTCAACATCGCTCATGACGGGCCTTGCAATCCGCTTCCTACCTAGTTGCCTCCTCCAATCAGCGGACACAACTTCAGTGGAGATACTGTGCGTTATTCGGGTTATCTCTGGTCCCACAAGTCTGACAAATATCCCAGATATCTCCTTTATAGTGTATGGCTGAGCTGGTAGCTTAGCCTTCAGCACATCTATATCCGACGGATGAGCCAAATGTCCATTCTCAAACACAATGTACTCAACGTTAAAATAATAAGTGGTCAAGTTTGATTCAATATTAAGAGATACCTGAGTGACGTCATGTTCCGCAAATGGAAGTGGCTGACCGAAGTGGAAACCCAAGGCGCGGAAGATGTTGTCGAAATTATACGTAATCGTTTCCCACTGAAAAGTTAGGGTAGCAGTAAGAAATATTGCGGCAGCTAAGACGGAAGAGATCAAAGCGCATAATAGACTTCTGCGATATGTGACATTCTTCGGTAAGGGATGAGAAGCGATTCTCCACGCAGGTTGTTTTTTTCTCGGAGTGACTCTGGAATACAGTACGGTGGATCTACCAAATTGACCAACGGTGGATATTGAACTAGAGCGACGGGATACGGGAGAACCTGGCACACTAAGCATTAGGTTAGAATGAACTCGTCGATTGCCAACAGTTTTGCTGTCTGCCTCGTACAATTACATCCTTAATCTGAAGCTGCAGAAAGGTGGCTGAATAAGTACCGGAAACATTATTGATTTTATCCCGCACTTGGAAATTTCCGATCAGCCCACTCATGCAGTTTTGCGTTAGCATCGTCGAGTGCGCGAATGTATGAAGAGCGCAATCAGCTCATCAACTGATCAATACGGTCTACAAGCGTGGGCGCGTGGCGTTAGCTAATAGGGTCGCGACTGGCGAGTCCGATTGGAGGACATGCTAAATGGACCGGATGAGGAGGGGTGTTGTATGTCGCCGAAGAAAAACGACGCTGTCACCAGTGCTTACCGAACAGGAAGGACAGTATTTATTTCCATTCGCGTCTTGTCGTAGAACACGACAACCTTTGACAAAAAGATAAACTGTAACCTTCTTCACATCTCACTTAAACATTAATTAAGCGCTACGCATGTTAACACAACAAAAACGGTATATGGGGATAAAACGTTCTTTTTATTGTTGCTCGCATTTTTCCACGACACATCATCAAAATTTCAGTAATGTTCCTCACATGACACGGAACCTTGGGGCTGATTAACGTTGCTGCATGTTACATGTCATAAACTACAAGCTGATCTCAAAGCAGTAACTGTAAGAGTAATAACTGTATGTGTTACTAACAACGGTTAACGGTTTGTGCTGCAGCCACGGGCGTCCAACAGTAATTGGTATGTTTGCCACTATATTATATTCATTTTGGATCATTGCGGCATACTTGAACTGTCTACCCTCTTACTCTCTTCCCCGATACTCGTCAGTTTGAACCTAGAACAAGCCGGTTCACACAACAGCAAAAGTTTCGTTGAAGCTGAGAATAAAAGTCATTAGTTATCATAGCATTCGTTTAACGGGACTCATGAACGGTGATCCTACAGAGCAGCAGACAAGCTAGTTGTTAACTGTCGAAAAGGAAATTAGCCTTTATTTAGAAGAATTATCAAAAAGTATTCCCCTATTTATAGAATACTGACATTTTGGGTATATGCATTTTTGCACCACGGCATTATAAAACCATGACTGGGTTGTAGGAAGAAGCCATATTTTCTCGACCTCTGATGTGGAGTTGAAATTGTGATAGTTGGATCACGTGAGTGGGTAGGCTAGGTAAATGTTGTGGCAAAGAAATCATACTATGTTGGGCAAATTGGCCATCTGGTCCTGAGTAGTCCATTTCACATTTACCTGTCATAGTACTTGACGGATGTTAAAAATATCCCCTGGCTCCCCCAATAAATTACGAGTAGACGTCATCGCAGTGGTATCGATGCATGATGAAAGACATCAATGGTTACTGAGTCCCTGGATACATGCCGAGATCTGGATGGCTTGAAAAACACCAATCTGTGGTAAAAATAATTGTTTTCAATAATTCATTTACGGGCCGTTAAAAATTTTGTACGGTTAAAATGGGTGGAATGGATTCAAAGATTTATGCGGAAATAATTTGGTCATTGGTCAGACAGCGAACAGTTCGCCGCTGTCTCATTCACACAGATCGATTATTAGTTGCATAATCACCATACCCCAGCCGATGGCAAGTGACTTCTAGGCTAATGGCTGTTCGGCCATGGCAGATAGGTAGATTGAGTAGCCGACTTTTACGAGCACAGTGGTGGTTGAAATATGCGGGTCGCAACAGCCTCCGTTGTGGCAAGCGTACTTAACCGCGAACATTTCGATTTGCTCATTTGAACTTGATAAATCCCAGTAAATACATTGGGGTGGCTAATCCGGTGACCTAGTTCGAATAGATGGATCTTGACTGCATCTGGTGAAACAATATGTGTTATGGGAGCTGTACGTACGAACTAATCTTGCTTTGTGTAAATCTTTCTAACTTATCTACAAGCACATCTTAATGGTAGGTTTGCAAATACACCAAGCACTTTAGCTAATGTGGGTGGCTCGGATTATCCAAGCCAGTGATGGCCTGAAGCAAGTTACCGCAAACTTATTTTGTTTGAAAACTCCAAGGGTTTGATCCGACATGGGATAGGCAGAGGCTGAAAAAATAAATGATGTATTTCTGGAGGGTTGTCTGATAACTTTGTACAAAGTAATCGGATGGTAGAGGAAGACTGAATTTTACAGAGTAGGTCCTGGATAAGTTTTGTTGTGTTCAATTATTAAAAACTAATTAAAAGCGTAAAGTAGGGCCTAGGAATAAATGTAGGCATAGCCAGCAGTTCCACTAAAGTAGTACGATCACCCGTGGAGCCTTCTCCTGGTAGTCAGTAGAGAAGTACCTTCCTCACTTACATGTCTCATTTGGCCATGTGTCGATGTGGATTAAAGGCGAGCAAGCCACCGTTATGTTGACTGGGGTTTTTTGGCCGCTCTTGTAAGCAATATGTCGTCATCAAGAACATTCCATTTTTGTGACCGCTGTTATATGTATTAGACCGTCGCCATGTAGACTCCTTTTTGAGTCCAGTATCTTTTCTTGTCAGTGGTTCTGTGGAAATTCACCTTGCTCGTGTGTAAGTATTTAAGTTGGAAGCTACCATCTATCCCCTAGGGAAATCGGCGCAGTCGTGACGATCCTAGGAATGGAAAAAAGACTGGAATAAAATGAAAACTACGGTGTGTAAATGATAAACACTTCACTAAAATGAGATGTAGCTTGGCGGTTGTCTGTTTCCGTTTGTACTAGCAATTACTGAGGGCAAGTACATAAATAGATAAGCGTTTTTTCGCGGTAACGCGTTCAAAGTACGTGTAAGCAGTGCATCTGTTTGGAGATTTTGTGCTGGTTCCATCGGATGAATGCAATCGAGTAGAATAGAAATCGCAGTGGAAATGGATTTTGTGGAGCACGGAGAACTGCAGCATATACCTGACGTGTGCTTCCAGGAAAGAAATGATGATCATTGGTAGTGTAGAACAAATGCAAAGAAGTAAAACGAGAAATACGGTGACAACGTTTGTCTTGGCAGGCTTAGGTGTAAGGTTAGATAGAAATTTCGCGTTAGTTGAAAAGTGACTTAAGCTTCCTGCCAACAGTAGGGGGACTAGTAGAGTCTGGAAAAAATAGGAAACCGGTCATTTATACATAACTATCCCTTTCCAATTTCATAAGGACATTCTTTTGTCATATTTGGTCACGGCATACCAGCAGGTGTACCAGCCTTGAGAACTGAATGTACTACCCTACGAAATTTTATCCCTGATTGTAGTTCACGCATCTCACTAGCAAACCTGTTCCATAACACGGGGTATCCGTCAAGGAACTAGCTACCCGACTGCTTCGTTCTTGATCGTTTCATCAATACTTTGTTGTTGTTGTTGTTGTTGTTGTTGTTGTTGTTGTTGTTGTTGTTGTTGTTGTTGTTGTTTCTGGTATGACACATTTCCGGTTCTTTCGGTTGCAGTACCTTACTTAAGGAATGTATTTCTCTCGTTGGACTTTCTTTTACAGGGGTGGCACAGCCATGCCAAACTCATCGGAGTTCACCGGCGCCAGTGCACTATCAGACCCGAGCAACACGGTCCCTATGCACAGCCCTAAACAACTCAGTTCAGGGCGGAGATCCCCCTACGAAAGCTGCTGCCAGGAGCCCACTCATCTGCACAGATCACAGCGGGGTTTTCCTCAGTGAGAATACGCCAAATTCTCCAACACATTTCCCACTGAATTTGCCCCATATACTCCCACAGTCTCCTCAAGTCAGCAGTCTACCTCCTGAGCTGTGTTCATGTGAATGACTTAGCCACCGAGCACATTCAGCAACTGTGAGTTACCCAAGATCTCGACACCATTGAACCCACCCACCTCTGCCTGGAGATAGGACCACCATATAGTAACTCATGTGCCTACCCTCATAGTTTATACAATTAATGCTGTTTTATTGGACTATACATAAGAAGGGGTAGAAAGCACGGTTACCTTGGTTGAGTCAGTAAAACACTCTTAGTATGGACCAGTCTTCTTTCTGCGGGTCCCAGTATTGTTGGGTGGTGTTTACGCTTTCCGTCTACTTTCTCAGGTACGAGTCCACGTCTGCCGGCTAAGCCCACTAGCCATTACAATACGAGTCGTCTAGGCTACTCTGCGCATGAGAAACAACGAAGGAATTCGTCCGTTCCGACTAAGAGAGTCGAAACCCAACCAGGACGATTTTAACAATATCAAAGTTGATAAAATTAACTTCCATTCAGAGAAGCTATAATTGCTTAAATTGTAAGGCATGTATAGATCCATACATGAGAATGTCGAAGAATAGCCCAAGGAACGTTTAGTGAATGACCGTTGCACTCGCCATAATACTTTACGATCACCCAGTCTGGAACTGCCATAATCTTGTAATGGATGTGTTTGCATTTTGTACAGGTCGTTAACTGTCTCCTTTAAAGGGAGTTTTTTGAACAGAAGCCCGATGCTCCGACTAACTTGAGCTGCACTACTTCCGACGTGCTAAGCGAAGTTAAGCGTGTTCGTGTGGTGTATCCCTAGGTCACGGTTAGTATGGCAGTGCGATAGTAATTTACTGTCAATAGTAAGAGAACCCAGTGTGATTTCACATCTGTAGGATACCGCGTGGCATTTGTCAATGGCGAATAACAGCTTCCACATGGAACACTATGGAACAAGCGTCTGTAAATCTTTGAATTTCGCTGGAATTATCACTGATTTTAGTGAAATTAACAGCGTAAATAATCCTTATATAACCGGAAAGTAGAAAGGCATACCAAAGAAACGACGTTAAAAATGCCATTCAAATATAGCAAGTATAGCAAGTGCCCAGGACACTGCGTTGTATCACACCACCACTGACTGGCTTAGGTGTGCTTGTCTCTTTTTGAACCTGTGAAACCTGGATTCTGTCCGGCAGGTAGGAATCGAACCATGACTACATAGGTTTTGCTATGCTATGTGCAGTTGGATCGGATAAGAAATAAGCATGCGGAACGCCATCAAATGCTTTTCCATGTCAAGGCAGAAGACTATAGTTGGTGAACTGCAGTCAAGCGAACTAATCCGAAGATTGAGCAAGTCGATCTGATATGTAATGGGGGATCGTGAGCTTGAGTAGCCATGTTGTTTGGTGTTGATATGATATCGCGTCATCAAAAATCAACAGTGTTGGAC